TTNCATTCCAGGTGAGTGTCTTATCTAGCCACACCCCCAGGTATTTTGCTTCATTTGAGAGCCCTATTCTAGTGCCGCCCAGAGTCAATTCTGTCATGGATAACTTTTTCCTCCGGGTAAACGGAACCAGAATAGATTTAGTAGGATTAATGGATATCCTTTGGTGTCACACCATCTTTGCGTAATGCGCAGGGCTTGTTGCATGCGGTTGGAGATCGTTTCGTCATGCAGCCCTGTTACACAAATTACCAGATCGTCTGCATATCCTTGTGTTTCGAAGCCATGGTCGTTCAGTAGGTACAGGAGTTCGTCTATAACCATAGTCCACAGAAGAGGAGAGAGTACACCCCCTTGAGGGTAACCGCTTGTGGCTGTAATCGATTCTTTCGTGCCTCCCAGCTCCATCCTGATCTTCCTTGTTTTTAGCATAGAAAGCACCCAATTTATTATGATGGGGCTCACTCCCTTGCATATCAGGGCATCTCTTATTGCCCTGTATGACGTGTTGTCAAAAGCCCCTGAAATGTCAATGAAGGCACAAAGGGCTATGTTCTTAGACTCCAGAGCCTTTTCGATTTTCGATGTAAGGCTGTGAATGGCAGTCTCAGTGGACTTGCCTGGTTGATAGGCAAATTGGTTCTTTTTCAGTGGTCGTTCCGCTAGGTTGACTTCTCTGATGTGTTGATCCAAGATTTTCTCCATGCCTTTTAGGAGAAAGGAGCTGAGGCTAATTGGTCTGTAGGATAAAGGCATTTGCTCCGGTTTACCTGCCTTCGGTAAAAATACCACCTTAGCCTCTGTCCATCTACTGGGAATGTGACCCAGTAGGAGCGACGCTCTGTATAGTCTGGAGAGGACTGGGGCTATGTAGTTACTTCCTTGTTGGAGTTGACAAGGATAGACCCCATCTGGTCCTGGTGATTTGTATGGGCTGAAGGTAGATACCGCCCATTGCACTCTTTCTACCGTGGTAAGTTTAGTTGCAAGGCTTTGCTCTCTACCAGAAGTGCGTGCTGGGACACCCAATTCCGGTAGATAATAGCCCGCTTTGCAGTGAGTGTCTAGCAGAAGTCTGCAAGTCTCTCCCGGATGCTGAGTATAACTACCATCTGGTTTCTTTAGAGTGCCGATCGTATTTTAGTGTTCCCTATTTAGAGCTTTTTGGAGGCGTACTGGCTCTGGGAGGCTCTTCATTTCCTCGCAGTGGTTTCGCCAGCTAGCTCTTTTGGATTTCCGCAATTCTTTGTTGTAAGAAGTTAGTGCAAGTTTGTACGGATTCCAATCACCCGTATTCTTTGCTCTATTGAATAGTTTTCTGGCTTGGCATCTCATTTGCTCAAGCTTCTTGCTCCACCAAGGCACATCACGTTTGGATTTTACCTTTCCTTGGGGACAGCTACTATTGAAAGCTATTCCAATGTCTGAATGAAGCTGTTCAGCTTCAGTCTCAAGCTCGTGCGCAGTCGTAATTTGACCACCATGGCTGTTTCCACCTTCTTCCATGATAAAGCGAAAGAATTCCCAGTTCGTTTTTCTGGGATTTCTAAAAACTAGTTCATGCTCAGGAAAGTGGCCAATGTCGAATTCTATGTGCATATGGTCCGACATTGATACCTCCCCTGAGACGCGCCAGTTTGTGACAGACGCTGCCATGTTCTGACTACTTAGAGTAAGATCTAAGACTTCCCCTCTAATAGCGTTCCTGAACGTTGGTTCATTGCCATGGTTTATAATACTTATATTATAACTACTTATAAACTCAAGGAGGTACTCACCCCTTTTGTTGGTGTCGGTGCTCCCCCAGACAGTGCTATGGGCATTTGCATCACAGCAGAGGATCCAGGGTATACCACTCTGCCGGCAGTGATCAGTAAGCGTCTTTACCTCAGGTGTCGGGGCTATCTGCTCCTCACCCGGGAAGTACGCGGAGGCAAGTACTGCCTCTTGCACTCCCCTAGGAGTCGGAATTTTGGACCATACCGCAACGAGATCTGCCGTAATGAACTGTGAAAGAGGGAGAAACGTTAGTTTGTTACATAATAGCATCGCCGCTCTTGGGCGACAGCTGGCGGCATAGATGATCTTACCGTCCTTTATATTAAGGCCTTTGACGTCACCTCTTAATATCCAGGGTTCCTGGATGAAGGCTACACCTAAGCCTTCGTTTGTGAACCTCCTATGTAAAACATCTGATGCTGCTTTCGCGTGGTGAAGGTTCACTTGGAGGCATTTAATGTGCCTCAGATTTGTGGAGTTTTTGGGGTGAGGTGCCATTACTTCCGGTCTTTTCGGCCGCGAGCAGCCACCTTCTTCCCCCTGTTTCCCTTCAGCAAGACCGCTTCTTCGGCCGTCCTTGCATCTCCCTTGCCTTTGCGGCTGGACATAGCCGCTTTGGAGCTGCCATGTAGTGGTGGCCGTTTTGCAGGCTTTGGGGATGCGATGGGTCCGACGCTTTTTTGGGCTTCTTCCAGCACCTGTTGTAGGGTCGGGCATGTTGTTGTTGCTGTTTTCGGAGGCGTTGTTGGAGCTTTGTATGCTACGTGTAGCTCTGTGCCAACCTCCGATGACTTCTGCTGCACTTGCGTGTCATTGGGTAGCTGCCTGGGAGCTACGATGACGTCTTTGGAGCAGCAAGGTTGCTCCTCCGAGTTAGGGTATTCGGTGTCGGCGGCATCTTTGTCTACCACGGGCATCGATGGTTTGGCTTTCTCCCAAAGTTTTACTACGCCAAAGCCATCGTTTACCACGTTCCCGCGGTGCTTTAGCGTGTCCGCTGATAGCGGGTCAACTGCAATGGTGATTTCCGCCATTGTTGACCTGCGTACTCGATTCAGAATGCGCCAGTCCGGAATTCTCAGGCCGTCATTCTGTGCCTGAAGCAGACTGAGCGCATCCTCACTGGCAGAGCTGTCCAGCTCCGGGAAGAGTCCCACAAGAATGATGCGGCGAGGTGTTTCTGCCTCCTCGACCACTTTCATCTTCGCCCCCTTCCATGGTGCCAGCTTTGGAACAGTGTTCCGTATCCACCCCGCGGTCGCAGCATCTCTGCAACTGATGGATAGCCATCCCGAGTGGAAGGTGCAACCCTTGAAGATAGGCTTTACAGCGCTAACTGTGTTGCTCCTGACCGCCCTGAGGATGGCATTTTGGATAGCTTTGAGCTCATCCGTTGACCACACTGTGATTGGATAGTCCTCTAGGACTAAACCCAGCTTCACTCCGCACAGTGCATCCCTAAATGAAACTGGCTCCCCGCGACAATCTGCAGGTGCATGCGGCACAGTTGCCTCACCGGTGGGCACAGATGCAGTCCCAGCTGGCCTGCCCCCTGCAGATCTCTCACTAGATTTGGCAAATTTCTTCGGAGATCGCCTCTGCGGGGTAGAGCTATCAGACCTAGGTCTTTTTTGGAGAGTTTTTTTCCCTCCGTGGTGGGCCAACGGGTTCTTTGGCTTTTTCTCTAGCCTGCTCATAGCTCATTCCCTTTTCTATGTACCGCTTGAGGCGTTTCCGACCGGCTCCGCTAAGCCGCTCCCGCTCTCGAGCTTGGTGAGATGGGTTGTTCACCGGAGAGGCAAGCAACTTCTGCTCATCCTCCGGCGAGATATCAGATAGCGTTCTGACGGGACTTGCATCCTGTCTCACGCTAGTATCCACCATCTCTACGTCATACGAGGGACTATGCGCCCCCAGTAGTTCTGTAGCGATGGTTTCTGTTTCGACAGAAGTCGAAAGGCCAGCATTGGCCATTGTTTGGAGCTGTGCAGCTCCTTCTGGCTTTTGATTTATGTTGTTGTTACTATCCATGTGTGGCCCACGAGTATGGGGGAAGGGATGTCAGCTGGGACATAGCCCCCAATATCCCGAGCAAGACTTCTTACAACCAGAGGGCGCCAGGTATCTGGAGGCCACCGTTATAAGACACACTTACGTAGTGCCATTCCTCCCATAAGCACGGTACGAATGGCACTCGGAATTACGGGTTTTATCGAGTTGTCCTCTCTAGATCCGCCATATTCAGTAAAAGCAGGGGCACCTCTCGCAGGGTGTGACTCGTCGCCACGTATGGTCGGTCTTGAGCCATCCGCCCCTGACCCAGAACATTACAACACGTATGAAGCAATATCAAGAGCCTTGACCTTGCTTCAAAAACTATACGCGATAAATCGAAAATTGTGAAAAGTAGAGCTACAAACTGTGAGTTACTTGCCATTTAGTTATTTTTCAGAGCACACTTTAGTTACTTACTACAAATTAAGTGTGCACATAAGTACTAAGTGCCCATAAAATTTCAAACCAGTATATGGTGTTCTTCAAAAGTTATGACATAATTAATTTTTCACCTCTTAAAAATTACACAAAAAATTCACTTGTTTTAAATTATTTTTTGAATGAAAACATCTATAATCCAAAAGTTATGCATTAACTTTATTCAAAATTTGTTTGAGGCTTCAATAAACATATAAATTATATTAAAAAGCATCCAGCTTGCTATAGTTTACAGCAATGAAAATAAAGCTAAATAACACAAAATTTACCTGTTTTTTAGATTTGCCCATACGCTATCAATCTGATACTGCTAATTTTCAAGTTAAAAATATACTTTTTTTTTACGAAAAAAGATACCATCGGTAAGCACGAGTATTTCTGCACCATTACCTCAAAAAAATTGTTTTTAAATGTGACCGGCTTTTGGTAAACGAGCGATGTAAATTTGATAGCATCGGATAATATTTACATATTTTTTACTATAGTTGCATGAATTTTCAGCTCACTTTTTCTCTTCACTTGTAGCTCTAAAAATGTGCACAAATTGAGCACAAGTTACTTATTTCTAGCACAAGTTAGATTTATAATAAATCCAGATACTTTGTGTGTATTTTGAAAAAAAGTATTGTTATGAAATATCAGACTTATTTCATGTGTTTTGTTTTTTGTCTATTTCTTCCGCTGACGTCAAAAAATGCCGACTCCCAAATCTATGACGGCAAACACTTAAGGTACACCATTGACGAGTCAAGGTATTGACATAGGCAGTAGCAAATTAACCGCTGGCATGGTTTCATTGGCTTTTAACAAAATACCGGTAAGCATATATACAGCATAAATATTCATACGCATATTAACTATTTTTTAGCTTATTATTTTTGCTACTAACCATAGACCATATTGGGCATGCCTTTTATAATAACAAACAAAATTGTGTCTTTGTTTAATTTTTTGAGCAAGAAATACCAAACAGAAATTTTTCTGAAAATTCGGAACAAAATGTTTGAAATCTTGACGAATCATTGTTAATTTTTCGAGTTTTTGTTTGCATTTGAAACTTGAATTTACATATATGGTTTTGGTATAAAATAAACCATATATTTATATATATCTTACCACCCTGTCGGAAAAATTAACCAACACCAACACACAAAAAAAAATATTATTTAATAATAAAAAATTAATTGCCAAAACTTGTTTATGTGTGGGCCAATTTCAGATGAAAATTTAAATGGCCCTGAAGTTTTATTTTGGATTGTTATTTAACTGCCATTTAGCTGCCGTAGGGTTTCAGATAAACTTTATTTAAATATGTCAAACAAGTGACAACGCTGCTGCTTGTTCCTTGAAATTGTTGTTGCATTTGTTTGTCTGTTTAATTTTCTGCTGAACAGCTGATTGTTGTTTGGTACAAAAACAGGGTTATATATCTCATATTTAAAAAGCTAATTTGTGCCATTTAAGTGCGGCCGCTGTGGAGTAGTGGTAAGCAATGCGCGCTTCCACTCCGCAGCACCTGGGTTAAAACCCTGGTCAAAGCAACATCGCAAAAATATAGGATAAAGGTTTTTTCTTAACAGCGGGCGTCCCTCGGCAGGCAATGGCAAACCTCCGAGTGCATTTCTGCCATGAAAAACAGCTTCTCGTAAAAATACAATCGCCGTTCGGAGTCGGCGTAAAACTGTAGGTCCCTCCTCTTTGTGTGACAACATCAAGGCGCACACCACAAATCGGAGGAGAAGCTCGGCCAAACACTAACATATGTGTAAGCGCCAATCTATTATTATTATAAGTGCAGATTAAATATGTGATCTTAAAAGAAATTGGGCCTTATAGTTGTGATAAGCATTATTTCTTTTGTTTACAAAAATTTTAACCAAACTTTGCTTTTGTTTTTGCCATTAAGAACAAAAAAAAAAATATCTGTATTTCTTGCCAAAAAAACACCAATCAATTTGTTTTTTTCTAAATCATAATGGCAAACTTTCTACAATGAAAGCCAATTCTAATGGTATCTACGCGAAAATTGTATACTCACTGTATCTTCAAAATCTGCCCAATATACATCACAACAGATTGTCGGATATCAAAGACTCGGTTGCTCATTTTTAATCACATCGCCGCCAAATGCCTCATACCCAATTGTTTCAAAGGCTTATTCTACATAAGGTTAAATATCTCTGGTTTTGTGTAAGATGAATGTTTTTCCATACAAAGATGGGGTGCTATCGTAAAACAGTCTTTTTAATCACGGAGTAGGTCATTCAGTTTTTGCAATACTGAAGTTTGTTTTCCATTTTCATAGATTTTTAGCGTCCTATTTTCATATTCTGCCACCGGAGGGAAGATCTGAAATACTTTGACAAAATGTATGGAGAAAGTAAACCATCTAACGTACACGTGCTATTCAAATATCTATAGAAATTATGAAAGCAAGTCTGAATGCACTTGATTTATGTGTAGGGTTGCCAGATTTTTGTTCTCAAAATTCAGTACTTTCGGCTTTTTCAGCGCTAAAAAATCAGTACATTTCAGTACACATTTGTTAGATGCAACAATTGGACAATTCAATTCGTTTATTAAACCAAAAATAAAAATAAAATTTATTTTTACATATTCAGGTACATATATGTACTTCTTCTTCTTCTTTATTGGCGCTGTAACCGCCTAAGCGATTTTGGCCGAGTCCAAAACAGCACGACAGTCATTTCTCTTCTGTGCTAACTGACGCCAATTGGAAATGCCAAGTGAATCCAAGTCCTTCTCCACCTGGTCTTTCCAACCCAGATGAGGCCTTCCTCTTCCTCTGTTACCAGCATCGCGCCCCGCGTTGAATATTTTCAGAGCAGGAGCGTTTCGAACGACATGGCCAAGCCAGCGGAGCCGTTGAATTTTAATTCGCTGCACTATGTCTATATCGTTGTAAAGCTCATACAGCTCATCGTTAAATCGTCTGCGATATTTGCCATCACCAACGCGTAAAGGCATGATGAGTGACTTATAAAGCGTGATCTTTGTACGACGAGAGGACTTACTTCTCAATTGCCTACTCAGCCCAAAGTAGTACTTGTTGGCAAGAGTGATTCTCCGTTGTATTTCAATGCTGACATTATTATTGGTGTTAATGCTGGTTCCCAAATAAAAGAAGTCGTCTACTTTTTCACACTAGGGCGGGTCAATATTTTTTTTTACTATGTGCGTAAAGCTTAGGAGGACTATACATGAAATTGTAAGCAACTTTTCCGAAGAGACCACGATTTTAAAATCAATTTGGAGTTTGCCAAATTGCGAAAATAGGTTTCGAAGAAAATGTGAAAATTTTCACTGTTGCGCGCTCTAGTGGAAGTTTTGAGAAAAAGCTATGTGCAGAAATGGATTCCGCATACCAAAAAATCACCTATAGCTACGGTGACCAGATTTATGTGGACAAATAGCGGGACTTTTCTAAAGCATCGAATCCGAACATACAAATTTGTTTTATTTAAAACAAAAAAGAGAAAAAAATTAAACATGATCACAAAAATGTATACACACAATACATATCTACAGCTAATATTTTTCATATCGATGGTTTTTTAGGGGATCAGTATTATTTTTTATAATTTTATTGAATTCAAGTTAGAATCGGTAAAAAAAAACTTTAACAATGAATTACAAAAACCTTAAAAAAAAATATAGGCATGAATGATAGATGGCAATATAGCGAGAGTACCAGTTTGACAGAATAAAACATAACCAATATCATAGAAAATAAGGATGCTGGCTATGTTTATGGCTCCTTTATATTCCATGCTAGTGTTGCCAGATTTTTTTTCAGTCATACCGGACAAATGCATAATTAATACGCGATTTACAAACATTTAACGGGGCAAATGAGAAATAACGGATTTTCTTTAACTGCGATCCATATATTAACAAGGTGATCCATTTCAACGAAGTAATGTTCAGATTAGTTATGACAACACTTTTTAATTTTAACAAAAAATGTAGGTACGTAGACATATAATTGACAAAACCATAAAAACAAAGTAAGAGATACAATTGCGGTCAAAATCATAGCAGAAAAATTTAAAATGATGCTGTTGGAACTTTTCTTTATCTATTTATTGTTAATATTTTTCATTTAAAATATGGGTCGATCTACATCAGATACCACGTAAATAAAAGTTTCAAAGCTTGCACAAAGTTTATAAAAACTAATTACAGTATATTTTGCTTTGCTGCCTTTATGCTTAAGTGCACATTTAAGATACCTACCCCAAAATGCGCATCAGCGGCATTATTTTTTACATTTATAAGGAAACTGCTCCGACAGATGCATTCAACATACCTGCACATAAGCGATACCTGCCTTAAAAATTGTGCAAGTATTATCAATTATCAAAGAAAGTATTACGTTTACCTGCACTGACTCTACACTTACCCTAATTTGACCAGGTTTTGTTTATTTTTCTCTCCTCGCAGAACAACGAAAACCGCTATATTTTTATGTAGTTATATAGGTAATTAGATACCATTCGGAAAAAATTTCGCTTGCAGTAATTTCTACGTGATAGGTGCTACTCCATTATTTGGTTTCATAGGGATTCGGATATCTTCCTCATTGAAGTAGCAAAGAATATTCGCTTAAGTTCTTTTTTCGGTTAAGCGCACAAGTTTTTCGTGTAAAGATAGATGGGCAGCTTAGCAAAATATACTGTAAATGCCATTTTCGATCTACCGAAAAATGTCACCTTCTTTTTGCCCTCTGCGTACAAATACTAAAAAGAGGGCAATGAGAAGGCAGCACTTTTTGTAGAAAAGAAAACGCCAAAAGTTAAAAAATTATTCATCAAAATTTCGATTTTGAGTATGCAGCTGATTTTAGTATAATAAGTGCCTTTAAACTAAGTCGCTAAAAATGACCATTAATTTTTTAGATTTTTTTGTAGAGGGTGTTGCACATTTTCTTTCTTATAAAAGTCAGTTTCTTTTACAGAGTTGCATGCAATAATGCTTGCTAATGACGTACTCACAAAAGCCGCGTTAAAGCATGACCATGTTGAGCAGAAATTTACAGGTTGAAATGAAAACTGAAACTGTCGAAAAATCTTATCCCGGAGGAACATTTCAAATTTTGCAACGCATTTGTTCTCTTGCTCTCTTTGACAACGAAAGTGCTGCCAAGTTTGTCGAAAAAGTTGGTTTCGTGCCAGAGTACAGGAGACTCTTATTAAATTATTAAAGAAAAAACTCGAAATCGGGATTTAATCGCTACAAATATGAAAAATCAGCACACTTATAAGTTCCGACTTTTAAGAAATATTCACCAGGACAATTTTCTCAAAATCGGCACTGTCCCGCTAACATCGGTACGAATAGTCACCGTACTTATAGCATGTTTTTATACAAAATTTAAGCACTTCTTTACGACACTGCAGCAAAATGCTAAGAAACTAGGGCTGCCAGACGTCCCGGTTTTCTCGGACATGTCCCGGGTTTTAGACTATTTGTCCCGGTGTCGCGGTCCAACCTTAAAATGTCCCGGGTTTCGTTTTAGTGTCCCGGTTTTTGAGTTCAAAAATCACTACACTAAGGGAAAAAACACGTTGTAATATTCAGAAAAATGTTATGAATTCACTGAGGGAAATAACGGATAGTAAACATGAATATTTTCTATTTGATTATCGTTTAAAAATGTTCGTATTTCAAAATAATACTTTCATAACACGCACGCGTGGTGTTGATTCAAACTCAACATTTAAATGCACATTTACATGTCTGGCTGTAGCTGAGTGCGCGACGATGCTTGCCATAATTTGCTAATTTCCAGAGGGT